AGCACAAAGCACTATAGGTAAACAATAAATACTTCCTCGATCAATAATTAAATAAAGTCTTTTATGGTACATGGTGGCCTGGGTAGGTCAGTAAGCTTTGATAGTTATTTGCATAATTAATCAAGGCACCTCTGGGTAGACGCTGGATTCATAGGCCTTTTCTAGGTCTTGATTCTAAATCTCTCCTTGATACTCTTCCAGGTGCTTAATGCTCAACAGTTGGTGCACTGCCCATCCTCACCCCCCATGAGCCTTGGTTCTGATGCAACCTATGGTCATGCAGGGATGCCCTTATACCTTCCCACGATGTCATGAGTGGCGGGCAACTGACCAGTTCCATCACAGCAGTAGCCTCCGAAGCACCTGCCCCCAGCCTCAGGTAAGATTCTGATAGTAAAAGAAAGACCTGTAGAGAAATAGTGGACGAGGGATCTGTGTGTCCTTGGGGTGCCCATGCTTCCTAAGGCTCAGGGGCACTCTCCGTATACATGAAACAACTTGGAGAGTGTGGGGCATCCTTCAGGCCCATCACTTATCACTCACAAGGCCTTTTATGGGGAGCACAGGGCAAGGAAGGGCGTTGGGCTGGACAAGCCAAAGGGTCCACTGTGGCGGAGGGAGGCTGGTTCCATGTTAACTTTCTAAGGGTTACAGGTCTGGGAAGGTCCTAGAAGAGTGTGACCTTTTAGGGCATGGCCTAGGTAGGACAAGGCATTACCTTCCCTTGGTGTGGCTTCTCTTTGGCATACCTCACATATTCTGCATGTATCTCTCTCCTGTCACCGGCTCTTCCTCTAAGTCCCTAATCTTCCTCGCAGCTCCTAGCTCAGCCCCACTTAGAATTCCCTGAGCTTCCTTACCTGCCTTTCCTCTCTCTCTCTTCTCCCCTAGGAGTTCTGTGGCGGTGGTGTGTGTCTGCCTGTGTATGTAGGTAGACGGGTAGAGGATGTGTGAGAAACAGTAATCTAGAGAGGGCATCCCCCTTTCCTGACAATGAGGGAGTTCCAGAGAAAGTTGACTGGAGAAGGGAGACACATAAGCATATTTTGGGTTGTACTGCAATGCTTTGGGGTCCAGAGGCTATGGGGGTGTAAGAAGTACTATGTCTCTTGAAGTTTCACAGATAGGCTGCAGTGCTGACTCACTACTAGGGGAGCAGACAGCAGCTGAATATACAGGGGGGAGGTAGACAGGGAGAAAGGCAGTTGGGATGGAGAATGTGGGTGCTGGGGAGCTTGTTTTGGGGAGAATAATGAGGGAAAGTCACGGTCCAGGCAGACATGAGGGTCAGGTCCTCCTGAGCTATTTTCCCACATCCAGCCAGAGAGAATTGCTGCCTCTCATGTATTCTTGAAGCCAGGATCAACTTCAAGTCTCCCATTAACCTATTCCTTGCCCAGAGGAGGACTTTCACAGGGTCAAGGGATTTAAAAGCCTGAGTCCTTGCAAAAGGCTTGCGCCCTGCTCATTGTCCACTCCCTCCAAGCTTTACCACCTAGGCAGGGGGACCTGAGGACCTCATTTTATTATTATGAATGGTATGAACCAACTGCTCTCTTCTGCTATGGTTCAGTTTCTTTTCCTTCCCTGTAGCCTTTGTTTCAAACGTTCAAGGGATGAGTAGAGAGCCCCTCAGTGAGAGCAGTGTGAGAAACAAATATCTTGACCACAAAAGCCAGAAGTAGAAGGCAACTGACTGGGAGAGGGAAAGAAAGCAATTACTATGTTTTTTTGTTTGGGGTTTTTTTTTTTTTTGAGACAAGGTCTCACTCTGTCACCTGGGCTAGAGTGCAGTGGTGTCATCATAGCTCACTACAATCTCAAACTCCTGGGTTCAAGTGATCCTCCTGCCTCAGCCTCCTGACTATAGACATGCACCACCATGCCCAGCTAATTTTTTCTGTTTTTTTTTTTTTTTGCTTTTTTTTTTTTTTTTTTTTTTTTTTTTTTTTTTTGCATTTTTTGTTTTTGTTTTTTGTTTTTTTTTTTTTGTAGAGATAGGGGCCTTGCTTTTGCTCAGGCTAGTCTCAAACTCCTGGCCTCAAATGATCCTCCTGCCTTGGCCTCCCAAAGTGCTAGGATTACAGACATGAGCCACTGTGCCCAGCTAATTTTTCCTACTTTTGATAGAGGCTAATTTTGTCCATTTTTGGTAGGGACAGGGTCTCACACTTGCTCAGGCTGGTCTCGAACTCCTGGCCTCAAGTGATCCTCCTGCCTCGGCCTCCCAAAGTGCTAGGATTACAGACACGAGCCACCACACCCAGCCAGTTGCTATTTGTTATTTACCTATTATGTTCCTGGCTGTGCTAGGTGGGACTTGAGAGTATGTGGGGGAACTAGGAGAGGAAGAACAGGGAGATGGAGAATAGTACAGGAGCCAGGTGGGGGTTTAGGAACCTAAGAAGAAGGCTGGAGGGAATGAAAGGCTAATGTGGGTGGAGCCCAGCTCATCCTGGGTGCTTCCCCCAGAGCCAGGACAGCTTGGTTGTGGCTGGGTCAAAAGGGACCATTTCTAACTCTGGGACGTTCCCAGTCCAGAGGACTCTGAGACTGGCTTGAGCCCAATTATCCCAGCACAAGTGAAGCTGTGGCCCTGAGCTATAGCCACTCCCTGCTCTTGGCCTACCGTCCCCTGCCATTCCCCAGCCACCCCAGTTGGCTCCGCCCCAGACCCCCAGAAAGGGTCAGGCAGCTGTTCCAACTATTCCTGTAGGTGGGCCTCAGCATGGAAACAATGTGGAACTGTGGAAAGCCCAGAAGACTCTGTGGGAGATAAATGAGGATGGGAACAGAACCCTTTTTGGTAAAAACGAAGTGTTTTCTCTCAGTACTGAGGGGTGGGGGCCGAGCTTGGGAATGTTAACCTTTCCCCAGGCGAGTTTTCTAGAGAAGGAGAAGAGTGGCCACTTCTAGGCGGGGCCCTGCCCCTTGGGCCAGTGGCTTATAGGAAGGGGCTTTCCCCAGCCCCCACCCAGGGTAGCACAGGCGGACATGAGAGCCTCCCTGGCACTGGCTCCCTATGTGGAGCTGCTGGGTTCCTGCGTTCCCTCTCCTTCCCCTGCAGAGGTCCAAGGGGATGCCCATAGACCATCAATTTCCCTCTGGCCTCAGGGTGCATCGAGAAGTCTGAGGGCTATGGCTCTGCCTCCACTCCTCTCTGTGCCTCTCAAAGGCAGGGTTGAGCACCCCCTCATTTTCATAGTGGGCTCCAGTGAATCTCCTGGGCCCTGCACTCATCTGAGGATAATAAAATTCAGACAGATTCTGCTGCCCTGGCTTCCTGATGCTGCTATCCCATAGCTCTCTCCTCAGGTGTGCCACACATATTTAGGAAGCTTACTTAGTTGAGGACTAGGCTTATTTCCAAAGCCCATCCTCCTGCCAGACCTTGGGGAAATTGCTTACCAGAAGTTTATCACCGAAGTGGTCGATCCTTTCCTCCACCTCAGGGAAAGGGTGGGCCTAGAGGCAGAGTGAGCTCTTTGTGTCTTCCGTGAAAAGGGAAAATAAATCAACAGAAGCTACCCTCTGCACGCCCCTCCTCAGCACGGTGGAATGCCCAGTCCCACTCCCGCCATCCCTGCCAGCCTGGGAAAGCCATCCTGGCCCTTGTGGCAGGCCCAGTTGGGAGTGAGCCGAAATTCCCCAGGGACAAAGCTCTGATTCACCCGCCAGGCCCTGACATAGCCGCCCCCTCCAGATTCCTGGGGGGTCAGTAAACAAACAGGGTGACAGCCCCTGCCTCTTGGCCTGGCTCAGCTCCACCTGCCTCACAAGCGGGCTTGCTTAGAGCGTGTCAGGGCTCTGCCTGCCTGCGGCTCACCAGGCACTCACTGGGTCTGGATTCCTGCTGAGGGATAATCATGGAGCTGCCCGATCCTGCCACCGACTCCCCAGGCAGCACAGGTAGGGTCAGTGCATGGGGCTGCAGGAGTTCTGAGCTGCGCCCCCTCACTTCCCCTTCACAGTGTGGCTGTGACCTGTGGTTTTAATGGGATGATGGATTTCCTAATTGCCTGGAGAGTCTTGTGTGGGGAGGAAGTGTGGTTTGGCGGGGAGGGGAGTTTCAGCCACTAACTAGCAGGGCTGTTTTCTTTCCAAATGAAGGCAAGTGGGCAGGTAGGCAGGCAGGCCGCTGTGTAGGTCTACCTAGGCCAGGGCGGAGCAGCCCAGGCTGAGACTTCCTCCTCTAATTCCCCATCCTTCCACCCTCTCCTTCCCCCATGCTGTAGGTAGCTACCTTCCTTAGGGCCATTTGCATAACCACCATTCCCCTAAACCCCACAATTCCCCCATAGGACCTTACCACTGCCCAGGAGAGCAAGTGATGGGCTCTGAGCCTGAGGGCCCAAGACTAGATTTTGGCAGGCCCCATGGCTTGACCTCTTGGCTGTTGACTCTGGTCAGAGCCCTTTGTTCATCTTCGCGAACAGGGCTCTTTAGGACTGTGTCCAGGCTTCCTGACTGTGGCGGGAAGTGCAGGTGGGGAAGCGGGGCAGGAGACATCAAGGCTGAAGCCCATTTGGGAAGTAGGACACCTACTACTGATAGTTCTCTCCGGCCAGACTACTTCCTCTCTGAATCTTTATGAGGCAGCCTCTCAGCTTTCTTTTATAGAACATTGGGTAAACTATGAGACCCTGAAGTATGAGCCTACAGCTCACCTGGAATGCTATAGTTGCCCAGCGTTTGGGCAGTTCTGAGCAGTTTCTTACCTAATGCGAGTACTTCCAGGCCCCCATCTAGGCAGTGGTCCTGGCAGAATTCATGATACTAAGAGTAATAATAATAGTAGGCAGCCGTTCTGTGTGACTGACAATGAATGGAGTCTTTTTTCATCTCGCCCCCGAACACACACACATACACACAGAATAGGACTTCTGAACTCTGGAACCAGCCTTTCTTTCCCCTTGTTCACACTTGTCTCACCCTTGGCTTGGTGCAGACCAGGGTGTGGCTCACTCTGGGAATCATGGGATGTCTGTGTTTCTGTCCAGGTTAGAGCTGCTGTCACCACCCCTGCACCTCCTCAGGATGGTGCTGGGGTTCCCTGCCTAAGCCTAAAGCTGTTGAACGGGTCTGTTGGTGCTGCTGGACCCCTAGAACCACCAGCCATGAATCTGTGTTGGAATGAAATCAAAAAGAAGTCTCACAACCTCCGGTAAGGCCTGACCCCTAGAAACAGGTGCCTTAGGGAATTGTCTTGGACAGTATTGGGCTCCTTTTGCTACTGCAGCTTGTCATTCTCCTCTCAGCCTATGTGTCCCCCTTTCTTTAGCCTCACCACCCACTTCTCCCTTTCCTACTCTGGCACTTGGGAACCCTGTGTTAGAAGTCAGGAGATTTGGATTTGAGCTTCAGGTTTAAGTAGTTGTATCACCTTGGATAAGTTGTTTGAGTTCTCAGAATTTTAGCTTCCATTTTTTTTTTTAAAGAAGAAAAATGAGTAGAGGAATAATACTTGTCCTGACTACCTCACAGTGTGGTCACAACAATTCAATTAAGATGTGGAAATGGGCCGGGCACGGTGGCTCACGCCTGTAATCCTAGCACTCTGGGAGGCCGAGGCAGGCGGATAGTTTGAGGTCAGGAGTTCGAGACCAGCCTGAGCAAGAGCGAGACCCCATCTCTACTAAAAAAAAATAGAAAGAAATTATCTGGACAACTAAAAATATATAGAAAAAATTAGCCGGGCGTGGTGGCACATGCCTGTAGTCCCAGCTGCTCGGGAGGCTGAGGCAGGAGGATCGCTTGAGCCCAGGAGTTTGAGGTTGCTGTGAGCTAGGCTAACGCCACGGCACTCACTCTAGCCAGGGCAACAGAGTGAGACTTTGTCTCAAAAAAAAAAAAAAAAAAAAGATGTGGAAATGCTTTCTAAACTTAAAAGTGCTGATGTGCAAATGAAGGAAACGATTGCTCCCTCCTCCTCTTCCTCTCATAGTTGTCCTCCATCTTTGTAGGTCTCATCCGTTTGTTTTCCCATCCTTTCATGCCCTCCACTCCCATCCACGAGTTATGAGCCCACCCATTCCTCCCCAGAGTAAGGGCCACTCACTAAGAGCTTGAAGGCAATTTCTATCTCAGTTGTTCTCTTTCCCCTACCCCTCTGTGTATGTTTTTGTCTCCACACCCTATCACCAAAGCCCAAATTCATGATGGGCTCTGGTGGGGGGCGAAGCAGTGTGGAGAAGTTGAAAGAATGTAGGCTCAGGAGTCAGAAAAACCTAGGTTAAAATCATAGCTCTAACAGAGACTTTAACTGTGTGACCTTTGGCAAACTACTTAACCTCTCTGGGGAATAGTAATGCCTGCCCCTTAAGGTTGTTATGAGAATTAGTTGAAACAATAATTTAGGTGAAGGGCTTGGTAGTAGGGAGGCAATGAATAAAGATAGTTATTATTGTCAGCTAAGGGGAATGGGCTCGATGGCTGCACACAGCCTTGGCCAGCCTCCAGCTTCCTATCATTTGGGCCTCAGCTAATGGTTCATTTAGAGGGCAGGAGGAAGCAGACAGAGATGATTATATACAGTAGAGATTTTTCTGCTTCTATATCTCAAACCTCTAGCCAATGTTTCTGTCATCCTTTGGGTCCCTTCACTGTTTATATTTGTATGCACCCTTGCACATGTGCGTGCCCACATTCAACCACCCAACTTGCCCTTTCTTCTCACTGCATCCTCTCCTGCTCACAGGGTAGGCTCAGAGGAGCCTCTGTGTTGAGCACTTTGGCAGGACTTGAATTTTGCCAGGGCAAGAAGGAAACCAGATGGCTGTCACCCTTAATGCCCTTGATCAGTGTCTGATCTTCTCTGATCTGATGCTTGGCATGCAACTGCAGTAACTAAGGGTCCACAAAGTGGCATTTTAAGCCTTTCAAGTTTGGAATGCCTCCCCACTCATGGTTCTACCCATTGGTTTTAGTACTGTACTCCATGTGGAGGTGCTTTGGGAGTCTCTGTGGGTGGGCAAGAGGGAGGGCTCCAGGCCTTCTCCCACTTCAGCTAGAGAAGTTCCTTTTGAATCTGTTTACTATATTAAGGTTCCATATAAGTATTGTTTGGGGAAAACAATGTTTTGCCACTTAAAAAGATTTAACATCACTGATCTTACCCATTGTGTGCAGCGCTCGCCTAGAGGCCTTCTCAGACCACAGTGGAAAGCTTCAGCTCCCTCTTCAAGAGATTATTGACTGGCTCAGCCAAAAGGATGAGGAGTTGTCAGCTCAGCTGCCCCTGCAAGGGGATGTGGCCCTGGTGCAACAGGAGAAGGAGACACATGCGGTAGGTTAGAATCCTGGATGCTGTGGTGTGTATCCTCTCAGCTGGGAAGGAATCCCTTCTATAATACCCCCACAGACAGACAGCCAGCTCTGCATAGACACCTTAAGTAATAAAGGGCTGTATGCAATCCTCCTGGTCTATGAATAGCATGCCATGGACTAAATCAAATCTTTCCTTTCTATCACTCCCATCAAATTTTGGCCTCCCTTAAAACTCTGCCCTGATTTTTAATGGGGGACATGGGGAAATTAACATAATATAATGCTAAATGAAAGAAACATAGTATACAAAACTATGTGCAGGTGGATCACAAGTATATAAAAATGCATATAGATGTGTGTGCATATATATACACACATAACAACATAGGAAGGGATATTAACAAAATATTAACAATGGTTAATTTTAGATAATAAAATTGGAATTCTTTTTAATTTTCTTCTTCATACCTTTCTGAAATTCCTAATATTTCTAAGACGTATATTACCTCTATAGTTATAAAATAACAATATTTCTTAAAAACAAGTAGAGAATAGAATACAATATGGTAAGAAAATAAACTATAACTGTGTGCCATGGCATGGATGAATCTTACAAACAGTATGTTAAGTGAAAAAAATATATATACAAAAGAAGTATATACTGTATGATTCCATTCATATAGAGTTCAAAATTAGGCAAAACTAAGCCAGGCACAGTGGTGCATACCTGTAGTCCCAGCTACTCAGGAGGTTGAGATAGGAGGATCACTTGAGCCCAGGAGTTCAATTCTAGCGCGGGCAACATAATGAGACCTTAAAAAAAAATAGGCTGCATTTGGGTGAGGCAAAGACATAAAGTGTAACTATAATGTTTGTACCCTCACAAAACCCTGGAATAATAAATAAATAAAAAAAAATAGGCAAAACCAATCGGTGATTTTACATGTCAGGATCATGGTCACCTCTGAGGGGGAAGGATGGAACAGTGACTAGGAGGGGCCACCAGGGGGCCATCTGAGATGGTGGTAGAGTTCTGTTTCTTGATCTCAGTACTGGTTACATAGAGCTGTACACTTTTGATTTGTGTACTCTGTGTATATTTCAATGAAAGATTTAATTAAAATTTTGATATAAATCCTGCCCACCCTGGTTTGATTTCCCTAAGTCCCTTACAAAGGACTTTCTGATCTTTCAGAAAGGCAAGATCCCCACATTTCTCTCTACCCTATGGCATAGACAGACCCATTTCATGCTAAATAGACCTTTCAGTGTCAGAGTTATTCTTCTGCCTATAAGAAGGACTGCATGTCTTTTTGTCTGGGTAGCCTAAAGATACCTAATAATGCCAAAGGATCAAGTCACATTGAGGAGAAGAAAAGTTGTCAATTGAAGGATAGAATTTAAAGCAATTGAAAGACTTTTCCCCCCTGTTAACCATACTGCTAAATCTCGCAGGCCTTTATGGAAGAAGTCAAGTCTCGGGGCCCCTATATATACTCTGTACTGGAGTCGGCTCAGGCCTTCCTGTCCCAGCACCCATTTGAGGAATTAGAGGAACCTCATTCCGAGAGCAAAGGTAGGTAGTCTTCTGCTCTTCCACCTTCTTCTTAAACTATGTACTGCTAAACAAACACCCTCCTAACCCTCCCCAAACTCATATTCTCAGCTGTTATCTAGGAGGATAGTTTCTCCTAGGAGTCAGTCCAGAGTTGGAAGGGAGCAAGATTCATAGTTTAGGAAAAAGCAAAGAGAACAGAGCCTGGAGCAGGGGTCACCACTGTGTGGCCCAAAGCTATATGTGGCTGTCTGGAGCATCACATGCGGCCTTTTAATGAGACATGAAAAAGAAAAAAAAAAAAAACGGTCAAATGAATTGAGCTAACTCAGTGAATAAAAGTAGCAGTATGTCATTTAAAAACATACTGCTTTATTCCAACATAAAGGGCATGTGGTGATGCTCTAATCAACCAGCATATAAAAAACCTTTTTAAAATCTAAGAAGTTAGATGATGATCTTTGAGAGGAAAATTGATTGTGGCTCTTTGATACTGACCCTGGTGACTTCTGGCCCCTTCCCTGATAGAGAGGGTCATTCTGGTCTAGATTCGAATAAGGCAGCAGGGTGGGATCCATAGTGATTAGGTCTGAGTGGTGGTCCAACAAGCTCTCTTCTCCAGAAAGAATCCTGAGCCTTCTGGGAGGGGCTGTGAATAGCCTGGAAAGACCCTTCACTAGTTGAGCCCTTCATCAATGCCATTTGCCCTCTCAGTTTACTTCTAGCCCCTCAATAGGAGGGCTAGTACTTAATTTGCTGCCCAGTGGGCCTCAGGTAGGACAAGCTGAAGAGAGAGAAGAACAGTTCTAGTTAGCCTGGGGCTTTGGGGCTCTGAATCTTCTTCTGAGGGAGAAAGAGGAAATCTACAAATTAGGAGCCTAGGTGGAAAAGCTGGGCATATTATACCAAATGTCTCCCGGGCTGGGTCTTCATAAAATGCCTCCCCTCTTTGGATGGAAGTGGGTTACAGACACTAATGCAAAATTACCTTCCAAGGTCATGTGAATAGAACTCTGGATGATTCACTTCAGTACACCTCTTAAAGTATTTTACCCACTTTTTACCTTGCCCATTTTTTAAAAATATGAGGAAATCTGTATGATACAGTAAGTAGAAAAAAACGATGTGGTCTCTTGACTGCAATGGTGGATACATGAACCAACATGTGATAAAATCACATAGAACTAAACATGGATGTATACACATACACATAAATGTAAGTAAAATTGGGGAGATCTAAACAAAATTCGTGGATTGTGTCAACATCAATATCCTGGTTATGATACTGTACTATATTGTTTTGCAAGATGTTACCATTTGAGGAAACTGGGTAAAGGGTATGTGAGATCTCTATGTTATTTCTTACAACTGCATGTGAATCTATAATGATTTCGAAGTAAACAGTTTAGTTTGTTTTAAAAATCCTGAATGTGCAAAAGGACTCAACCATGGAAAAATATGTATTTGTGTGTGTTTGAATATATACATAAACATGCATACATGCACACACACATACACATGCACACACATTTTATAAAGGGCTGTCTTTATCTCTGTCTTTTCCTGGGCTGCTCCTGCCTGTTGGCCTGACCTGGCTTCCTGCCTGTCCTCGCAGATACCTCCCCCAGACAGCGGATCCAGAATCTTAGCCGCTTTGTGTGGAAGCAGGCCACGGTGGCCAGTGAGCTATGGGAGAAGCTGACAGCCCGCTGTGTGGACCAGCACCGTCACATTGAGCGCACTCTGGAGCAGCTGTTGGAGATCCAAGGGGCAATGGAGGAGTTAAGCACTACTCTTACCCAAGCCGAGGGAGTCCGAGCTACTTGGGAGCCCATTGGGGATCTCTTCATTGATTCACTCCCAGAGCATATCCAGGCTATTAAGGTATGCTGGGCCCCCTCCCTGACTACAGACCACCCTGAAACCCAGTGCTGTCCCCAGACCCTGATAGTGTTCCTGCTGCTGAGACTCCATTGTTGGCCTGGACTACAACTGAGCCTCTCAGTTTATATGCTAGATTTGGGCCTGATTTGGATGGAGTCTCTTCTGTTTTCCGACCGTCTTCTCTTTCCCTGATGTTTTCTGAGAGGAGAGGAAGAGGATAAGTACAGTGGTCGCCCACACCTTAGCCTGGTTGCCCTAATAGGCAAGCACCTAGGTTGTTTTGTTGAAACAAAACCTTGGGGTAAAGAGGAAGGAATTGAAGTGAGTGACTAATGGTTCCTATTCTCTATCTGCTGTGGCACTTGGGTCCTGGTTCTCCAGCTATTCAAAGAAGAATTCTCCCCCATGAAAGATGGAGTGAAGCTAGTGAATGATCTAGCCCACCAACTTGCCATTTCTGATGTGCATTTGTCAATGGAGAATTCCCGAGCCCTGGAGCAGATCAACATCCAGTGGAAGCAGCTACAGGTAGAAGAGCAACCTGGAGTGAACCACGTGGAAGTGCCTCAATATAACTAGGCTTGGGGAAAAGTTCTTCGGGTTCAAAGGAAATGAAGGGGTATTGAATGGGACCTGCATGGGAAAAGAGTAGTAGAGAACATGGGGCCAAAGAATGGGCTTCTCAGCCTCTAAACTGCAGGGAGTGTTTGTTTGAAATGAAGAAATGAGAGGGGCCTTTCTAGATTTGGGCACTCAGGGTAGACAGGGGCAGGGAAAGTGTGACTGTGGCCTGGAATTAGGGATGCTCTACTCTGACCCTTTGAAGTCCTGGGGGAGGGCTAGGAGTTGGGCGATGGCAGGAAGGGCTGGAACCAGAGAAAAGCCAGCCTATGAGGGAGCTCATAAAGATCCCCAGAGGCACCTGGGGATCCCACACTGAATAGCTGGAATGAATCTACTGACTTATTACCTGTTCTTTCCATAGGTGTCAGTTGGCGAGAGGCTCAAGCAGCTCCAGGATGCCCACCGGGACTTTGGCCCTGGGTCACAGCACTTCCTCTCCTGTACGTGAGCCAAACTGGACTTCTCTTAGCAGAACCTCAACCATCTTCCAAGAGAATCTGTTCTTATCCCCTGGTGGCCTGGTGGGAGCCCAGTATACTTTGGCATCTGAGAAGCAGTAAAGATAAAGCAGTATAGGATAGTGGTTAAAAGAACAGTCTCTCAAATCAGAGAGACCTGGATGTGAGTCACAGCACCTCAACTTAACAGCTGTGCAAGCTTGAAAAAAATAGCTTACCCTTTCTGAACCTCAGTTTTCCCATCTGTAAAAAGAGGGAAAATAGTCCCTAGCTCATCAGTTATGGGAATTAAATGACTTTATTTGTTCAACAGTGGGCCAGGTACTGTTCTATGCACTGGAGCTGTATCAGTGAACAAAACAGACAGAAATCCATACACAGCTTATATTCTATCCACGGAAGCCAGACCACAAACAAATAAGTAAAATACATCTAAGGCCAATTGTTGACAAAGGCTATAGAAAAAATTAAAGCAGGGAAGGCTTGGATTGGGCATGATGGACTTAAGGGGGGAGGTGTTGCAATTTTGAATAGGGTAGTCAGCAGAGACCTGACTGAGAAGGTGACATTTGAGCAGAGGCCTAAAGGAGGTGAGGAATGAACCATGTGGAGAGCTGAGGGAGGAGCCTACCAGGCAGAGATCCGGGCCCTTAAGGGTCCTTAAGGCAGGGCTGTGCCCAAGGAGCATCAAGGAGGAAGAAAGCAAAGAAGGGAGGAGCCGGGGAGGCCAGAGCACAGAGGGCCTTGTAGACAATGGGAAGAACTTCGGACTTTATTCTGAATGCAATGGAGAACCTTTGGCAGGGTTTGAACTGAGGAATGGCATGATCCCTTATGTTTCAACAGAGTCAGGGTGTTGAGAAGAAACTACTGGGGGGCAAGAGTGGGCACAGGGAGACCTGTTAGGAGGCACATTGCAATAATCGAGGTGAGGGATTATGGTAGCCCTGACCAGGCAGGTAGCAGTGGAGATGGTGAGGGTGTACAGATAGGAAAATTAGATATGCACACAAAGCATTGAGCATGGTATCTGGCACGTAGTAAGAGCTCAAGAAATGTTAACTGTGATTAGTATTATTACTATTATAATCACTGGTGTGCAGCTATATCTACAGAGGGCTTTTGTACCCAGAGAAACTTCAGTGAGCAAGTTGGCCAAGTAACTTGACCATCTTTTGAAGATCTGGAAGATAAAGACACAGAGCAGAGAAGGGCATGAGTTTCCGGAGTTCCTCATGAGAGAGAAATGGGCAGTACCATTCCCTACTGTCCCACAGGACTGAGAAGCTTGACCTTCTGGGGAAAGGGCTTTGAACCCCAAGAGGAAAGTAGGATCCACTTCCTATCCACAGGAGCAATCCAGCTGCCTGCAATTCAATGGGTAGAAATGGCAGCCTACTCAGAGAGAAGATTGTCAGGGTGGCCAAGGCCAGGTTCATGTCCTTGCCACATCTCTGGTATATTAGGGTGGCAGTGACAACCTCTTCCCCTTCCCTTGCACTAACATCAGGGAGAGAAGTGTGTTCATTAGAAGTGTTTGCCCCACCCTCAAGGGCTGTTAAGAGCTGGCAGTGAGAGACAGGCATCCCCTTTTGGGCTTGACCACTTCTTTGGGAGGATAGAGCAGGGGAGTGGTCGAGGGCCTAAAGAGCATTAGTGGAGCTATGCTTGCTTTCTTTCTCTTCTTTATCAGCCTCTGTCCAGGTACCCTGGGAAAGAGCAATTTCACCCAATAAAGTTCCTTACTACATCAAGTGAGTGACCATCTGAATCAGAAGCGGGTCAGTCACCTGCCCACCCCCTCCCTCAGCTATCTTTTTGCTACCTGTACCTGTCACTCCTTGTTTGTTGAATTCCTCCATCCAGTCCATTTTTTCTCCTACTCATCTCAAGAGCTCAAGATTCTACCTGGGTAAAGGTGAACCTTGTGCTTTGGGATCTTAAGGGTTCACCCTCGATTTGTGCAGCTTCTTACATCCAACCTGTCACTTAGTGGTGCACACGCATGTGGAGGGTGGGGTGGGAGAGTGGTGTGGACACTGGTGATATTGATGCTTTTGTTTGTAGCCACCAGGCTCAGACCACATGCTGGGACCATCCCAAGATGACAGAGTTATACCAAACCCTAGGTAAGAATGTGGGGTTCCCGAATAGGGTGGGGATCTATACAGTTGCCTTTGTCCTATAATGTCTACTGACAAATGAATGGATAAAGAAAATGTGGCATATCCATATAATGGAATATTATTCAGCCTTAAAACAGAAGGAAATCCTGCCATATGAAACAACATGGATGTACCTGGAGGACATTATGTTAAGTGAAATAAACCAGGCATACAAGGACAAATCCCACTTACATAAGGAATCTAAAATAGTCAAACTTGTAGAAGCAGAGAGTAGAACTGTGGTTGCCAGTAGCTTAGGAGAGGGGGAAATGGGAAGGGTATAAAGTTTCAGTTACACAAGATGAATAAGTCCTAGAGATCTACTCTGTAGCATAGTGCCTATAGTTAACAATCCTGGATTGTGTCCTTAAACATTTGCTAAGAGAGGAGATCTTATGTTAAGTGTTCTTATAGAAAATAATAAATAAAGAGGGCAGGAGGAAACCTTTAGCGATCATAGATTGTGGTGATGGTTTCACAGGTGTATACTTAACTCCAAACTCATGAAGTTGTAGACATAAATCTGTACAGCTTTTTGTATGTCAATCATACCTCAATAAAGCGGTTTAAAAAAATAGAAGGGAATCCCAGCCAATAAGCAAATGGAAGAGGAAATGAGTGTCCCATGCTTTCTCTAATATCTTTCCTTTTTTTTTTTTTTTTTTCCGAGACAAAGTCTCGCTCTGTTGCCTGGGCTAGAGTGCCGTGGTGTCAGCCTAGCTCACAGCAACCTCAAACCCCTGGGCTCAGTACACTCTCCTGCCTCAGCCTCCCAAGTAGCTGGGACTACAGGTGCTCGCCACCACACCCGGCTAAGTTTTTGTTTCTGTTTTTAGTTGCCGGGCTAATTTTTTCTATTTTTAGTAGAGACGGGGTCTCACTCTTGCCCAGGCTGCTCTCGAACTCCTGAGCTCAAGTGATCTTCCCACCTCGGCCTCCAAGAGTGCTAGGATTACAGGCACAAGCCACCGCGCCCAGCCATACCTTTCCTTTCTTTCCCCTCTGCACCTGCCTCAACTGGAGGTTCTACATTCCCCCCTGGACCATTTTATCATCACATGGGAGAATATGCTTATAGATGTGAAGTCTGATCTGCTTTGAAAGACACTGTCCAGGCTGTGATGAGTGTGACTCTTGCATGCCTTATCTTTGCCTACTAAGAGAGACCCATCATTATGTTGCAAATTTTATCTGTGTTGATGCATGTGACTATAGTTCATTCATTTTCACTGCTATAGCATATTCCATTGTATATAGCACAGTTTCTTTATCCATTCTACTAGAAATGGGTTCTTTCTAGTTTGGAGCTTGTAAGAATAATTCTGCTGAGGCATTCTTGTATGTGTCTTCTAGTGCACGTGTGCAAGGGTTTCTTCAAGGGCATATTATTCAGTCTGCAGGTCATAACATTATTTCAGAATGTTGTCACAAGCATTTAAAAATTTTGAAATAGACTAGGAAATATTAATATGCAATAGATCCTTAGCAAGAGTCATATTTGATATTAAGTTTGTTATGTTTTTACTTATCAAATCTAGTAAGGAATTGTTTCCTGAAATGTTTGATTCAGTTATTTATACATGCACACCTGTGTATGTATATGGGGTCATGATACAAAATAAATTTCATACTGTGAGTCTTGGTCACAAAATATTTGTAAATCACTGCTCTGGGATATATAGCTGGCTGGGTGGTAGGATATGTAACTGTTACATTTTATTAGGTGATACCAAATTGTTTTCCAAGGTGATTGTTTTCAGTTTGTACTTTTACTGGCAGTCACTATTATTCCACATCCTTGTTGACACTTGCTATTGTCAGACTTCTATTTTTTGTCAATCTGATGGGTACTAAATGGTATCATGCTGTGGCTTTAATTTTCATTTCTCTGATCTGAGTGGGTCTCTCTCCATTCTTTGCAGCTGATCTGAACAACATTAAGTTCTCAGCTTACCGCACTGCCATGAAGCTCCGCAGAGTCCAGAAGGCCCTGCGCTGTACGTCTCCTGTCATACTTCCCTATGGCTTTCACCCCCCTACTCTTGTTACTCATCTGTGTGCTGTTTCCAACTTTCATCCCACCTGAGCCGGGGTTGTTGATTGGCTTGGTGGAAACTCTCCAAAGCTGGGATATGCTGTCTGTGAACACCTGCTCTTTTCAGAGCCCTTCCATTCTCCCTAAACCCCAGACATATTTCCAAATTAACCCTACAGCTATCTTCCCCCTTGTCCCTTTTCCCCTGCCCAACATGGATAATCAAGCAAATGCTTTGTGACAGGAAGTATCAGAACCCCTGGTTTGCCATCTTGGGGTTACTGGATGTAGTAATAGAACTTTTGAAGAAAATGCCAGTGGTTAGGGAACAGTATGGCTACAGATATTACATGCTTTCTGGCCTTTCTCATCGACACTATTCACTCAAGCTTCCTGGCCCAGGCATGTCTGGCGAGGCTGATCCAGCATTGGAGGTAACTAAAACGTCCTCTGACATATATCACATTTCCCCAGCCATACCTGAGCCTTCATAGCTGGTGTCTAGGTTCTCAGAACGTGGATCATAGACAAACCTATTTGCAGTTGAAACTTGTGTAAAGACAGAGAAACTTAAAATGAGATTTGATCCCTTAGGAGTTAATACAACATAGGAGATGAGTTTACTCACATCCCACCATCTTTTTAAAACTGATGTCAAAGAACATAGGGGTATAAAAACATGTTGGGTTAATTTGGAGCACCTTTTGCTGCCTTCTTCCTCTTTGGGATGAGGGTCTTGGTAAAGGACAAGGTTGTAACATACTTGCAAATGGTCGGTCTGGAGATTGAGTCAAATTTGGTGACGCTGGTTGTTTTATCTCTGTGTCTAATCCCTGGGGTTCTACTTCTGACTATATATTTTTTCTCTCTCCTTTCCTTCCCAGTGGACTTGGTAACTTTAACCACAGCCCTGGAGATCTTCAACGAGCATGATCTGCAAGCCAGTGAGCACGTGATGGATGTGGTGGAGGTCATTCACTGCCTGACTGCCTTATATGAACGGCTGGAGGAGGAAAGAGGCATCCTGGTCAATGTGCCACTCTGTGTGGACATGAGCCTCAACTGGCTCCTCAATGTTTTTGATAGGTAAGGCCTTTCATCCCTGGCAGTCTCCAGTATAAAAGTCAATGGGATGTCTTGAGGGGCATGGTGGGAAGAGGTTGCTCCCATGGTGGACTTGGACCCATCTCAGCTTGGGGCATGGTCGGCACAGGGCCAGGCTGGGATCAACTCTGTGATGGAAGTGACTGGCAAGATGTTAACCCTTCACATATATTCATGTTCTCAGTCTCTTCTTTTAAACCTAGTGGTCGCAGCGGAAAGATGCGGGCATTGTCCTTTAAGACTGGCATTGCATGCCTGTGTGGCACAGAAGTAAAGGAAAAACTTCAGTGTGAGTACAACCCCAAAGTCTGAAGTGATGGGTGGAGGGAGAGGTGTTGAGGGTGGAGGAAGAGGGTAAGATAAGCCAGTGGTAGGTTTTATGACTCAAGAGAAGGCTACTTGGGCTACCTTGTGATGCTTCTTGGTCCAGGCTATTGCAAAGAACACATGACAGCCAAAGGCCAAGATGGGCCTAAGGCCTGTTACTATTCCCAGTGTCATTCCCTAGGGCTTGGTTTCTTCTGATCTGATGTCAGTACTTAGCCGGAATCTGCATTGGTATCCTGGGGTATCCAGGGCCCTGACTTTCTAGTTGTATTCCCCTGTGGCCTACCAGGCTTAGCCCTCTCCCAATCTGAAGCCATGTCACACACACACTTTCTACTAAAAACTTCTCGTGTCAATACATGGGCAGGGGGCAATGATCCCCATTATCTGGGAGGTGGACAGTATATACCTCTGTAGTTTTTCACCTCTCTGATTTATAGTACTTTTGCTTTCCTTTCCATCCTCCATCTTGTGTTTAGCATTTTGAATGTTTCGGCAGCAGCATCATTAGTTGTTGAGTCCTAATATGTGTTGATCACTCTGCTAAATGGGGGTGAATGCTAGGTTAAATTAGACACAGTCCTGTTTCAAGTGGTTTACACTCCATAGAAGGAGACAGAAGTACACAGAAAGTGTTTTTCAGGAAGTGCTAATGAGAATAATCCAAATGTCAAAGGATATATATTATATCAGATCACAGAAGAGAGACAGATGACAGTGGTCTAGGAAAACTTTACAGAGAAGGGAACTTCCCCAAGCATATTCATGGCTGTGATATTATTTATTTCTCTAACATTCCTTTGAGATGGGATACACAGTGATAATTTATCCTCAATTTACAAGTAAGGAAACTATGACATAGAGAGGTTCATGACTTACCCACAGTTCTACTAGTCGGTAATGGATCTAGAACTTGAACCCAGGCCCTCTGCCTTCTACTTCTGTGTGTTTTTATAAGCCTTAGACAAGGTATGAAGCAGACAATAACCTCTGGAGGAGGTTTGCTAAGGCTGAGTTTAGATGGAGGAGCGTCCTAGGAGAGCTGATATAGCTCAAATTCAAATATAAGTATCATACTATACTCCACAACCACTTACAGATAATTTTTAGATGATCAGATACTTTAGATTAGCTCTTCTTTTTGGATTATCCATGCCAGTGTTTCCTTCCATTTGTGTGGACAATTGAGAGATTACTGCAGTGTCAGACTACATGAGCTACATGGACAGGAGAGGGTATGGCAGCCCAACTGTGACTCACATTCAGGCACCCTGAGCCCACACCCCCCTTCTTGCTTCTTGAGGAATCTGTTTTCCAAGAAGTGTCATATCTGTGTCTGGCACTGCTCTTACATACAGTTCTCTCTCTGTTTTCATCTTTCTCTCTCCCTGTCTTCCTGATGCTCTCTCTTTGTGTCTGTCTCACTTTTTCTCTCTGAACTCAGAGAATGCTCTTTTTAAAACTCCTGGGCTTCTAGAAAGTCAGGGATGGACCTCTAAGTATTCCAGTTTCAAAAGTCATTAGCTAAGTCTATGTGCTCTTTCCCTGTCTTCCTTTTCTGTTCTTTCTCCTCACACCATTCTCTGGCCATTCCTGCACTGGGGTTGGCTATTCTTGATGGTGGGGCCAGCAGACCTCTTCAGCCAAGTGGCCAACTCAGGCAGCCAGTGTGACCAACGCCACCTCGGTGTCCTGCTTCATGAGGCCATTCAGGTGCCCCGTCAGCTGGGTGAAGTGGCAGCCTTTGGGGGCAGCAATGTGGAGCCCAGTGTCCGTAGTTGCTTCCGTTTTGTGAGTATGGAACTGGGGAGGGAGGGAGGATGGTAGGGAGAGAAGGGGCGATAGAAGGGAGGGAAGAAGGACTAAGAGTTAGGCTTTTGATCTGAAGTACTCAGATGTAAGGGAGTTTGTTTGGATGGGACAAGAGGGCAGAAAGTTCTCTGGGCTCTAGAGTCAGAGTCCTGCTGGGGAGTACAGCAGCTCAACTAGGGTAGGGCAGAAGGTGAACACCTCTGAAGAACAGGCCAACCCAGGCCCTGCTGGTTCCCTTGCTCCTCTGGGGGCTGCCATTCTACAGACAAGACACTTTGGGCCTCAGTCATTGCCATTGGGCTTCTTGTTTCCCTAGAGCACTGGGAAGCCAGTCATTGAAGCTTCCCAGTTCCTGGAGTGGGTCAACTTGGAGCCCCAGTCCATGGTGTGGCTGGCTGTTCTGCATCGGGTCACCATTGCTGAGCAAGTGAAACATCAGACCAAGTGCTCTATCTGTAGACAGTGCCCCATCAAGGGGTTCAGGTAGGGAAAACAATACCTATTAGGATGATAATAAATATGACATAATAAATGATAATAAATATGACATACATGTGACATATAAATCAGATATAAAACAATGCATTACATACTTATTATATAATTACAGCTAATCTATTGTGCATTATATATTGTTGTAATCCTTTCTATTACAGAATGTTTAACTTTTAAAAAAATGGGAAATGATGAAATATTTTGTTTTAGTTGTGTTATAAAATATTACAGACCTACAAAAACATCTAGAGGCCACTATAAGAACACCTCTATACCAAATAGTGTGCCAGCAAATGTTTCACAATCTACTTTCTAGATACCCCCTTAATATTTTGGAGAAAAAAACCCCAAAAATACAGTATGTCAAATACTCCCCTTTCTTTGGCATAAGATAAAAAGCAATGTAGAGAAAAAAAAACCCTACTTTCTAGAAAGAAAAAAGGAAACCTGATTTGTGATATTTGCTAATTTCTGTGATGTAAATTCCCACTATGGCTGATGTCAGGGTATTTACAGTAAGTTTCTGAGCAGAGTTAGGAAAAAATGCTAAGTTGCACATCAGTTATAGTATTTCCACCATGCAAATACAATAAATGTAAATAACCTCACGAGGCCAGGAGCGATGACTCACTCAATAATCCCAGCACTTTGGGAGTCCAAGGTAGGCCAAGCACTTTTCAGAGGTTGCTTGAGCCCAGGAGTGGGAGGTTGCTTGAGCCCAGGAGTTGGAGGTTGCAGTGAGCTATGATCACACCACTGCACCACTGCCCCAGCAATACAGTGAGACCCTACCTGAAAAACAAATAAATAAATAAATAAATAACCTCAAGAGCACAGATAATAGTAAAGTAATTAGGAAGTGATGAGTTTTTAGTATTTCTTACTTTTGTTTTTAATATCATTTGTGACTTTATGTAGTTTAATTTTTAATAATGGGTATATTTAACAACTGGCTTAGAAAACCCCTGAAATTTTAACAGTCAGCTCTTATGAGCTGGTATGAGCTGGCCTCAGCATACCATAGTATATACCCTTGACCAAGCTTAAGGAATAAAACATTGCAATACATTTGAGGTTTTCCTGGTTACATTCCCCTCCATCCCCCACAAAGGTAACCACTATCCTAGATTTGTCTCCAATCATACAATGCTCAACTTTTTAACTTTTTAAAGCACTGACACACAGCTCTCCCTTACAACCACCATGCTTTTTATAGAATGAGCAAATGAGGCACAGAGGTGGAATGTGATTTGCTCAAGTTCACACAGCTAATTAATGGTATACCCAGGACTAGATATTGGCTCGTCTGACTTCTCTAAGTCTAGACATTTCACTATTCTATGCTGCTAGGTCTGGCAGTTCAGCCAGGCTTTGGAAATAGCTCTGAAGAGCTATTCTATAATCTGTAGTAACAGAGTTATTATAAATAACCTTTGGAAATAACTTTTAGCCAACTTACCCAAGGCTGGTAGAATAAACTGCCTTTGTATTAAAAGTGTAACTTTTCCAAGGTAGATGGTGGTACATGGGAGCCTAGACTGCTTTGGGCCGTCCTTGTTTAGAAAACTATTTGATATAATGAGATCTTCTGCTCTCCCAACCGCTTTAAACAAAGATGGTGAGATAATGCAATTTCCCACGCTTCCTGGGAATCTGGGCTTGTGATTTCATGGAGATTTATGGTCTGTAGAATAAGGCTGTTTATCTATTGAGGGCTCAGCCACTGCTATGTATAGGATGTTGAGCATGTTATGGCCCCATGCTTCACTCCCTTCTAATGTGTGTGTATATTTTGATGTCAGGGGAGCAGAGGGGAGGTCACGGTGGCACATTGGATTCCCTTTCCTACCATGTCTCCTCTCCCCAAGGTACCGGAGTCTAAAGCAATTTAATGTCGACATCTGCCAGACCTGCTTCTTGACAGGCAAAGCTAGCAAAGGCAACAAGCTGCACTACCCCATCATGGAGTATTACACGCCGGTATGGAGCCTCTGGGCTGGGTGGGAGGGGTAGGCAGCTCTCAGGTACTAGGCCTTAATCCACTTTGCCCAGCTTTGGCTCACTGTATTGAGCTCTCCTGTGGGGAGCATTCTCCAAACAGCCCTGGTGATTCACCAGTTTAAGGGATTCTGGCCACTCTATTCTTCCAGCAGAGCTTCTCCCTCGCTACCACCAGGGGCCAGGCTGCAGCTGGTCTAGGACACTCTCAGCTATTTAAAAGGCACTTGATATTTTACTACAGAGAAAAGTCTCAGGAAAAAAACAGGGGGAGCAAGGCAGTTCCAGGTGACTCACCTTCTATTGCTCACTTGAGTTTTTCTTGACTAGCTTCCTGTATTGCTCCTGTATCACTTGGTCTTTCCCTGCTCCTTTGTCAATGTTTTCACCCCTTCTAGTCGATATCAAAGTTTAAGCTCAAATTAATTACTCAGTCCTTTGGGGTAAAAAAAGGGTATGTTCTTTAATGTGCCCCAAAACTCCACTTGGTTTTCCCTGGCAGCCGTGCCCTTCATAGCCACCTGAGCCCGGGTTGATCAGCATCCCTAAACTCCAGCCACAGATTTGCTCCTGTGCTGTGTTCAAGACCCACAGCTCCATGCCTCACTTCTCTACATGACTCTGCTCCCTATATGTCTCTATCCCTTTCTGTCCCCACAGGTTCTCCCAAAGCCCCAAGCATATCCCCAGTTTCCCCCTCTGCTCTCTCCCCCATCCTCCCTCGCATCTTTCCCCACAGTCCATCTTTCTAAGCTGTCATCTCTTCAAATTCTTTTGGCACAGAAATGTGTGACCTGGTGGGAGCAGGGACCATGCCCTTTACTTTTCATTTATTATCATCTTAGGGAAAACATTATAAAAGTCATACATGGGCCGGGCGCGGTGGCTCACGCCTGTAATCCTAGCACTCTGGGAGGCCAAGGCGGGCGGATTGCTTGAGCTTAGGAGTTTGAGACCAGCCTGAGCAAGAGCGAGACCCCATCTCTACTAAAAATAGAAAGAAATTAATCGGACAACTAAAAATACATAGAAAAAATCAGCCGGGCATGGTGGCGCATGCCTGTAGTCCCAGCTACTTGGGAGGCTGAGGCAGAAGGATCGCTTGAGCCCAGGAGTTTGAGGTTGCTGTGAGCTAGGCTGACGCCACGGCACTCACTCTAGCCAGGGCAACAGAGTGAGACTCTGTCTCAAAAAAAAAAAAAAAAGTCATACATGGAAAACTGGCTGGAGATGGTAGACTCCGATTTATCCCCTATATCCTTAGAATTTATAGAAAAGCTATTTTAAAAATTAACAAATATATGCTCATTGTAAAAGATTTGAATTGTATAGAGGTGTTTAAAGTATAAAAGGAAAGTCCTCCTCTCTCCTCACCCTGGTCCCCACCCCTCCAGTTCAACTTCTCAGAGGCAACCGGTGTTCACAATTTGGCACATATCCTTCCAGATCTTTATCTAGGAGCAGGTGTGATAGGCATGAGCAAGAGTGGATTACCTGTCATGCTGTCTGCTCCATGGGAGCAGCCACACCTGCATCTGGAAACCATTAGGGTGAGTCCTCTGCCCTGTCTCCCCTCCCAACCAGACCACATCCAGTGAGAACATGAGGGACTTTGCTACAACTTTAAAGAACAAATTCCGCTCGAAGCATTATTTCAGCAAGCACCCTCAGCGAGGTTATCTGCCTGTGCAATCAGTGCTGGAGGCTGACTACAGCGAGACGTGAGTACCAGTGGCTGAGCAATGGCTGCAGGCAGCCTCACTGAACCTGAGTGTGTGCTGTGAAGGGGCTGAGTCCCAGGTGGGCTAGAGGAGTGTTCAAGGGTAAATCCTACTAGTGACAGGGCAGTCCAGCTTGGGCCTGACCTGGACTCTGGCTGGAGAAATCGACTAGAATCCAGCCTCTGTATCCTGTTCCTATCAGTTCCGCCTCCATAATGTGGGGGGCGGGGAAGGGGGGAGCAAACAGGCTGCCCAGCTGCCCAGCTGCCCAGTCTTTGGTCTTCTGAGTCTTTGCTGCTTTCTTCTAGGCCGGCTTCTTCCCCGATGTTGCCACATGCTGACACACACTCCCGCATTGAGCATTTTGCCAGCAGGTACCACCAGGTTTGCGGGAGGTGGAGGTGGGGTGGGGTGGAGTTTGTAGGAAGTTCAAGGGGAAGAGGTTTTGAGATGGGACAAAGAGAACAGAGTCAGGGCCAGGGGATGTGCATAGTAGAGTATGCAGCAGCCAGCAAGGTCCAACACTTAGAGGTGGTTGAGGCAGCTCCCAAAGCCAATGATCCTGTTGTGGGATTAGAGTCCTTGAGATAAAAGCAGGCCCCATATCCTATTTTCTGTCCTGTTTCTGCTCTTTCTTCCCAGGCTTGCTGAGATGGAAAGTCAAAATTGCTCCTTCTTTAATGACAGCCTGTCCCCAGATGACAGCATGTAAGCTCCCACAGCTGCTTATTTTCCAGAAATAGTTCTCCTTGGGATCCTTCTGCCACCATTTAGGAAGGGTGTATCCTCTAGGGCATGGGAAGCATGGTGGCTAGGGTCCTTGGCTCCCTAAGGAAGGAAGGCTGCTTTCTGGACACAGTATTTAGTAAGAGAAGCAGTCTTCCCTCTATCAACTGAGCTAGGGAATGAATGATGTACTAATCTCCCTGCTATCTGCCCTGGTCTCTGTTGCAATGCCCCATCCTTTTATGCTCAACTTTAAGGAAAGAAGAATATGCCCTCATCTAAAGTTGCAGAAAGGACCATTATCTTGTGCTCAAGATGCCTAATCCCCATCTAGTGCCACACCAACCCTGGCAGACAACAGGGACTTGACTGAAGTATAGTCAAAGGGACTCCCTGGTGCTGTAGCCCAGAGAAGGGCTCCTGCATCTCTGGGGAGGTCCCCATCTTGCTCAGAGGGCCTAGGAACTGCTGGCTACATGGATCAATGTGGCCCTGACTGGGACTCAGATCCCTCTGGGGGAGGAGGAAACAAAAAAGAGCAGAGTGGGGAACAGCACAGAAAGGGAAGTCATTTGCTCATTGTTTCCCAGGGAGCTATGAGTAGAACCCAGAAGCCCTAGCATCTTGAAAACACTCTCTCCTGGTACTCCCAACCACAGCCTCTGCCACCTTTGAACCCTCATCCCTCTCAAGCCTAAATATATGGCCTTTCCTCTCAATGTGACTTAGAAGTGAATCCTCCAGCATGCATGTCCTGGGGCCTGGGCTTGGAGCTGAGAACTCATACCCTGATCTGTTTCTCTGTTCAACACTGGGCACCTCCTTTCCTCTCCCCACACCCATGCAGAGATGAGGACCAGTACCTGCTGCGGCACTCCAGCCCCATCACAGATCGGGAGCCAGCCTTTGGGCAGCAGGCTCCATGCGGTATGGCCACAGAAAGCAAGGGGGACCTAGAGAAGATCCTGGCCCACTTGGAAGATGAGAACCGGTGGGTGTGATGATGTCACAAATCTGTGTGGGTTCTTAAGGCAGGCAGCTTGAATTTAAGTCCTGGCACTTCTGCATCCTAGTTGCATAACTTAGATTCTGTGATCCTCTATTTCCTTATCTTTAAAATGGGGATGATGATAATTGAACCTACCTCCTAGGGTCACTTGTGAAGACTAACTGAGATCAGGCATATAATGTGTTAGTTCAGTGCCTGGCTTATAGTAACAGCTCAGTAAATGTTAGCTATTATAATGATTACTTGAATCCTTTAAATTAAACCCAAATTTTGCCAAGAACACATTAGATGTAAGCAGAGAAAATACAAACACAGAGAAAATAGAAGAGCATATGCCATGTCCCTGCCCTCAGAGAACTTTGAGTGTTGGAAGTGGAAGGAGATATTTATCACCTAATAAAAGTATTCCAGAGGACCATGACACTACATAGGGCACTTGAGGACTGAAAGAAGGAAGGTGAAGAAGATTATAGGGATGGCATGAATCTCCATAAAGTAGGCATGTTAGCAGGGACCTAAGAAGGGTCTAAGCCACTTTGAGGGCATGAAGTAGAATCTATCAGTGTATATACAAGTCACTTGGGAAGCTCAGTAAAACACAAATTCTGATTCACAGGTCTGGAGGGAACTGAGTTTCTGTGTTTCTAACCAACTCCCAGGGGATGCCCATGCCTCTGGTCCATAGACCACACTTGGAGTAACAAGTCTTTACAACACTGCTACTCAAAAGTGTGGAGAGCAGACCAGGGCCAGCCTGTGACCAGTTTCTCACCAGTCCAGGACAAGATAGATAAAGATATAAATTAAGCTTTTAGGAACATTTACGGCAGCTTGGCATTACCATGACATTGAAGCACAGAATTAGTGGCCTCATCCCATTGAAAAGGGTAGAGACCAGTTTGAGTGTTGTTGACCTTGTGTGTCAAGTCGCACATGATGTGAGCTGTGTACAGCTCATGTGCATTAGGACCACATATTGGTCCACAATGGAGTGAAGGAAGCCCTGGGTTTTCACTACGAATAGTTTGAGAAACACTGCCTTAGAGCAGCAGTGGGCAGGCCCTGGGAAACATCAGGCAACTCCGTTCTGTTGCAAAACAAAGTGATGTCCCCGAAAGTAGGCCATCTCTTTGGAATCTATTTCCTTGATGAGCCAGGATGGATGTTCAAAGTGGGCCAAAGAAGAGGGTCATAGAGAGAAGAGACAAGACAGGTGGTCTTTTGTTTATGTTATGTCTTTCCCTGGAATCTAAAACTCCAAAAATGGACTAGGTGAGTCAGTGGCCCTAATGCCTCACTTATTTGCAGACTGTGTTTCTGCCTGATTTTTAAGGTCAGAATTAATCCCCATAGCAGCACATCAAAGCCCTGAGAAGTTTCTTGTGTGAAATGTCAGCTCTCTCTGCTCTGAGATCTCAGGATGGCAGAGTAAATGATATACGTGCTGGAGACGAAGTGGATGTGGCCACTCATGCAAGAGCACAGCTGGGGGTGGAGTGGGGTGGGAGAGCACAGGGATTGCTCACACCTAGGCCCAAGAGGACATCTGGGACCTGCACTGTCAGTGCCCCATTAGGGTCATAGGTCTTGGTTTCTCTGTCCTTGGCAGGATTCTCCAGGGAGAGCTGAGGCGCCTGAAGTGGCAGCATGAGGAGGCAGCCGAGGCACCAACCCTGGCTGAGGGCTCCACCGAGGCAGCACCAGACCACCGCAACGAGGAGCTTCTGGCTGAGGCCCGGATCCTTCGGCAGCACAAGACCCGCCTGGAGACGCGCATGCAGATCCTCGAAGACCACAACAAGCAGCTAGAGTCTCAGCTGCAGCGCTTGAGGGAGCTGCTCTTGCAGGTGAGGCTGGAGACAGGGAAAGAACCAGGGCGGCCGCTGAGCACAGGGGAAGGCTGGGGAGCTGGGTAGTGCAGCAAAGAGGAGGCATGAAAGAGCTCCTTGGCAGTGGCTCTCAGGTGACTTCCTGAAGAGAACTGGGCCTGCAGTTGGGGCAGGTGGGGGAAGGAAGGGGCCGGTATGGTCACATCTCTGACCAATTACCTTCTACCTAGCTTCCACATGACCCTTGTGTGTCACTTTTAAGCCACTGAGGGGCCCGGGGAAAAGGGAGGACTTCTGAGGGCTCACTTCCTCACAACCCACTGGAACCCAGTACTGGAAGAACAAACTTGAAAAAGCATCGAAAATGTTCATTTTGCTAGTATGATATTTACTAGAAAGAAGCAGGTTTAGACATGTTTGGCAAAAGAAAGATTTTTGCTATAAAGAGGTCTCTTGTTACTTTCTGTCCCTTTTGTCTCTGAGAGGTAGTGTGTATGCTGTAGTGTAGCTCTGGAGTCAGACAGCTCTGGGTTTGAATGTGGCTCTGCCAATTAGTGGCTGCAGGGTATTAGGACTGTTGTTACTTAACCCCTCTATGCCCCAGTTTTCTCATCTGTAAAACAGGAATAAAAATAGTACCAAACTTCATAGAATTGTGGTGAACATAAGATAAGATAATGCATTTACAGAATTTAACACAATGCCTGGAATATAGTACACACTTCATAAATGTTACCTGTGATTGTCATTATGTATAACAGGCAATACCACCACACCCCGTGTCTTCCCCAGATCCTCCAAGGGATAGCCTCTAAATGGATTCTTGGAGGTTTCGAACATATGCTATTATGTCATGAACCAAGGCTCAGGTGTGTAACTCTACATTTCTAGAGAGAATTGGGTTTTAAATAATAGTTTAATTATAGCTGAAATGACAGCAAGAGACCTTTAGGTACGATGCCATCCTTAGAAAAACTGGGAGCCTTTGACACATGTTGTAGAAGGAAGAAGTTAATCAGTAATTGGATATTCAAAGAAGTTTTCTTAAAGGGGAAGCTGCTGTTTGGGCCATTACCAAAAGCTTCTTAAAGCCTAAGGGCAAAGGGATATGCATGAGGTCTCTAAGGTCCCTTCTAAGCTCAGGAGTCTGTCAAGGTAAGGTCAGGAAGGCAAAGCCACTTAAGTCATGCCTTAACTCTTGCTAGCCACCCTCCGAATCAGATGGCAATGGTTCCGCGGGATCGTCCCTAGCTTCCTCTCCGCAGCAGTCAGAAGGCAGTCACCCCCGGGAGAAGGGACAGACTACACCGGACACAGAGGCTGCAGGTGAGTTCCCCTGGCCCCTTTCAGCTCCTTCTTCCATGGCTTTGTCCTGACCAAGGTTTTTCTAGGGCTGAGATGGGTTTCCCCTCATGGCTTTGAGCTTAGGGTCAGGGATGATTGGTTTGTTGATTGATTCATTCACATGCTTATTCTACAAATGTATATATCAAGCACCTCCTGTGTACTAGGCATTGTGCTAGGAGGACACAAACACTGTTGATGAGTCCACCCTTCAGCTGACAGCATCTTACCTGGCCCCTAGGCCTCATAAAGGAGTCTCTAGTTCTCTTCCCAAATCTCTCTTTTCCAACTCAGATGATGTGGGATCAAAGAGCCAGGATGTCAGCCTGTGCTTGGAGGACATCATGGAGAAGCTCCGCCATGCCTTCCCCAGCGTGCGAAGCTCTGATGTGACTGCCAATACCCTGCTGGCCTCTTGATGGAGCTAGATCCCCATCCTGTGGTCCATAATCCTCTCCTGGTTCTGGTCAAAGCCTTCCCTCAGCCTTCACCCGAACTTTCCAGTCCCCATTGGCCCCTCATTCCTCAAGCAGAGTTATTTGGGCTCCTGGCAGCAGCAGGGATCTGGTGGTATGTGAGGGGTGTGTGTTTGGGAGGGGGGTGGTGGGGGAAGGGGAGGCATGATTTCTCTGACTCTAAAACGTTCCCTTTAATCCTCAAGTTTGAGACCAGTCCTTTAAGTACCCTTCTTTTACAACCCAGGCAAATGGCACTTGGCCATTCAGATGCGGAGCAGAGAAGCTGCCTTGCAGAGCTAAGTGGTGCCCATTGGCCTCTTTTGCTTCTCCATGGAATTATGGAGAGGGAGACACCTAATGGCCCCAGGGTTCCAGCATTACGAATCCTTAGGTGTTAGCCCTACTCTCTGGCCCAACTCAGGGAGGCAAAAGGGTATCCCTGAGACACCCCCCTCCAAAGTCCCCCTGAAAAAGTCTGGGCAGTGTGTGTCCTGTTACTTCGGTTTCAGGGAGATCTCTAGCCATCCTTATGCTACCTAGGTGTTGTTTCTTCCTTGAATATTCTCAGTTCTTTCTGCCTCGGTACCTGGCAGACCTTCCTCAATGGGGGTACAGTTCATTCCAGTTCCTGCTTCCACCTTACATTTGGAAACATTAAAGAAATACTTATATGGGTTTAATTTTTGCCCCCACTCCCAACCTCTTATATCCTGAAGGCCTCAACATCCTGAGAGACCTGCTGAGTTGCTCTGGAAACCCAGCTGAAGCCACCCTTTGTTCCTGTGAGTCTGTCCTTACAGACCCGGGGAAGGAGTAGCAGCTTGCTCAGCCAGGTGTTCTTGCTCTCCCCACGTGAGGAAGGGGAAGAGACCCTCTAGCCTGAAGGAGTATGACTCCCTATCACTTTTCCAGACTGTGACCCTTCTAGCTCTTAGGCTGAATCAGGTGAAGTGGCTGATTTGCAACAGGCCACCCTAAGTAGCGGCCCCTCCCAGTGACCATGAATCAGGAAGCTGGCCACTTTCCACCCAGACAACCAGAAGGCCTTCCTGTGCCTAAAACTGTTCTTTCTAACTCTGGAAGGTGAACCCAATCCTCAAACTGAGCTAATTCTTCCTAGGCAACATATACCATGATCCTTTTATCCAAAAACTATTCAGAATAGATACTGAGGGGTGGGAGAGTGGGCTTGAGAACTTTGAACAGATTCAGAGCCCACTTAGGCAGCTCTCTACCAAGAGGAGCTTTATAACCTAGAGCCCTGCAGTCAACTTAATTTGCCTAAGTTTATATACATACATATCTATTCTACATATCTACTGTACATCAGTGCTCTCCTGGCCTCACTCACAAATTAAATTCTATTACCTCTTGAAGTACTAATGTTCTGCCTTGCTCTTTGTTAGCCCCAGCCTCTGGTTGGAAGATATATGCATCCTGGCTGCTCCCTTAGGTTGTCTCTCTCCATTGATGCTTGGGGTGGGCTGTCCTCAAGAACAAAGCAACAGAAGCATGTGGCCCCAGAGGAATCTAACAGGAAGAGTCACTCTGTTCTCTTCACTCATTCAAACTTTTGTTCCCTTGAGACCTGGGCCTTGGATAAATTTTTCTGGGCTCCCCTAAACAATGGTTCAGGTACCCAAATAGAGCAAATCCAAGCTCTATGCAACCCATGCAGAAGAGAAAGAATAAATAGGCTTTTATTAGCTTTTGCCGGACTACAACACAAAGTACGTTCTCTGGCCCCTTCCAGTTCCTAAGGTCTGACTCAGGGCCTTAATGAAAGCAGAGGTTGTCAGGAAGATCAGGAGGGAGGGAGTGAGACGGTTGGGGTGTTGTGTTATAATCAAGCAGTGGGCCACTGGGTAGAACTGCTGGGAACCTAGATTTATGTGCTGCACGGGAGGCAGGGCAGCAGCTTTGTCCAGAAGTTTGGGGTTGCCTCCTCCCCCAACTCTAAGCCACAGGTCCAGGGTGTCAGACTTCATATCACAACATCTACCTTAGTGTTCATGAGGTCCCTGTGGGAGAACTGGGTATCTGGATAGATGGTGAGCAAGTGGTAAGCAGGTATCAGTCTGATAAACTGGGCATCAGTCAGAGTGGGGGCGTATTTGTAGGGGCCTAAGTTTTGGGCAGGAATGTGGGACAGAGGGCTCAGGGACCTTAAGGCATAAGCCTACGTGAGCAGATATTATGGAGCAATCTTTTACCAGGAAAGTCCTGGAAAGTCCTTTCTGTTACCCACATCCCACCCAAGAGCTCTCGGGCTGCTGAGGGCCTATGGCAACTGCAGTGGGCCAGGCATGGTAGAAAAGATGTAGATCTCGTTATGTAGGATTCGTGTTGTAGGTGGACTGAAGCTGCAGGTCAGAAGTCGAATTCTCACTAAGAGGGTCACTGACACTTTGTGGTCCTGTGTTTACCTTAATGCCTGAGGTGAGCATATCACTCAGGGGTACAGTGACAGTCACTGCAGCATGTATGGGCAGTGTGCCCACAGTGAGGTAAATGGATCCTTGGGCGCTGTGAATCCAAATTGGGGTTGAATGTACTGAATTGTGTTGTATAACTTTTGGCATCTGTTGTGTATCATGTCACCTAAAGGTATTATGTGTGGCACTGTGTAGTTTTGGCCCTGCACTAGAAGGGTGGTGAAGGGAGTTGCCGGGTTGGTAGCCTAAGGAAAACCTTCTGACTTGTAGGATTAGCATCAGTGATAAGGAACATGAGTGCTTGCTGGGGTTGTTGTCAAATAGTATCAGGAAGCAGTTAGGACTGATAGTCGATTTATTCTTGGCAGAATTTGATAAAGGCCAAAAAGCCATTACGAGGATACCTTTGCTTCCACCTGGAGCAGAGTGGATCCACGTTGACTGGGGATCATTAGGGAAGGCTGACTGGCTGAAGCACATCAGGCTGTGATATGGTTCCCTAGAGAGAGTCCCACCCAGGAGGTCACGTGCCCTTTCCTCCAGATTGGGAAGGCTGGAATCAAGGCTCTCAAGTGCTCATTTTCTTCAAGGCCCAAAGTTGGGAAATACTTCCCTACAGAGGAGCCTGTTTGAGTTTACGGTGCTCCAGGAACTGGGCTGACAAGCCACAGTAATGATAAACCCTGAGGCCAGGCAGAGGCCAATTCTAGGAGATGTTTTCCCTCCAGATTCATTTTAAGGAATGCCCGTGCTACCAGGGGAGTGTCTGGGGTCTGGGCTCCATATCCAGCATCAGGCTAGAGCATTCTTTGAATTCTTATTCTCAATGGAAGAGTTATGGCCTCTGGGACTATTTCAGGCCAAGAATCCCATCCAATTTCTCTTGATGTAAGTGACATATAACCAAGAAAACAGCTGCCTTAACACAAACAATTAGTTCTGGGAGAGAAACTGGGGGCTGTGTCCTAGGGCTGTGGAGATATAGCTCCTCAGCTAGGCAGCTCCCGTGGGAACAAAGGAATACTTCAGCTACTTCTCACTCTTGTAACACCAATGGCTGTGGGAGAGGGAAAGGCTCAAGGCCAGGGCTCAGCTCCCAGCCTCCATCTCCTCCCACAGCTGCCATATTTGAGAGGCGACCTGCTAAATGTCCTTGCTGTCCCCTGGGCAGTATCAAAGCCAGACCGAAGTCTGTTATGCTGCTTGTTGGCTGCAAAAACTGGTCACAAGCATGAGAATTGGGGAAGGTATTCAGGGGAAGTAACAGGGTAGCAGCCAAGTCTAGAAAAGTTTGGGATGAAGGGGCAGGGTTGGGAACAAATTGGTTAACTTTGATTGCCACTCACTGTGGTGCTTTTCACCTTTCCCTTGAATTCTGCTTTGAAAAGAATAAATTTGTATTTGTTTACTTTGGTTCGTCTGGTTATACTCTCTGACTCTGATATTCCATATCTTTCTCTTATTTGGGGGGTGGGAACAGAGGGTGGACCAAGAACCCAGAGAAGCACTATAAAACATAAGGCCACCAGAGGAGTCCAACAGCTATAGGACAAAAAACATTGGTCCCATCTGCTACTATTACCTGGATTGGTTGCCTTTCAAGCCTCCCACCCTTCCCCAAATTAGCTAGTTATTACCTCATGGGATGAGCTCTATATAGCAGTGGTTTCTAAATTCTATCCTCATCAATCTGAGTAATTTTTCACCAGGCTGAAGCAATATAAGAAAAATCAGGACAATGCAGTGAGTTCCCATAAGGTTACATTTATTCGATTTAAAGATCTGTCTTTTATTCTGAGATTATGGCTATATATATTTTTGGTGTTAAAACGTCCCTGTGAATTGATGGTGATAGTTCTTTTTAAATGCCATCTTCTGGCAAAATAAAATCCTGTGAGTCCCTCTTCCCCACCACCATTTTTTCTTTTCTCACCAAACTACAGCAGTACTGTGCAGTAGAAATACAATGCAAGCCACATATGTAATTTTAAATTTTATTGCAGCCATATTAAAAAAGTAAAACAGGTGAAATTAATTTTAACAATATACTTTATTTAACCCAATATATCTAAAATATTATCCTTTCAATGTGTAATAAGTATAAAATAATTATTAATGAGATTTTTTTTATTATTCCAGGGTTTTGTAAGGGTACAAACATTATAGTTACACTTTATGTCTTTGCCTCACCCAAATGCGGGTTAAAGGCATGCCCTTCCCTCCCTTTAGTGCTCCCCGTGTCCTTTAGTTGTAGATTTGCCCCCCATCCCCCTAATCCCTAGAGAGTATTTCTGCCATGTGATCAACCTAGTGTTGATTAGTTAGTACCAATTTGATGGTGAGTACAAATGGATCCCGTTCTTCTGCTCTTGTGGTGCCCCACTTTGGATAATGGGCTTAAGTTTAATCCAGGAAAGTATATTTTATGTTCTTTAAAAAAAATAATAAGTCCTTGGAATTGTTAAGCTGACAGAATCAGCTGGCAAAAAAACAAGTAATCTAGATAGATCCAGACAGTTTGTTACTTCTGGAGACAGCAAAAGCAACATCAACAATGGTATCGGTGCCCTGTGTTCCTTGTCCCACAGAATGACATTCAAACAAAAAGGGCCAGATGGCACACAGCATGAATAGTGGGACCCCCTGGTGCGGAGTATCCAATGCCACACTGTAGCTAAGCAGATTGATGGTCTGTGGCTGTATCTTCTGGGGGTGGGGGGCAGGTAGAAAGTCCTAGACCTTACTGGAACAAGGGAGGCAAATGAAAAACTGCCTCATGGCAGGTTCCCTTCTCACAAGACAGTCTGTAGTCCTATGTTCTAAGAGGATCACAGGGCATTCTGCCAAGACCTGGGTCAGCCTACAGTTGACCCTTGCCTATGTGGCCTGTGTGAATAGTACAATGTCGTCAGGATACTGACACAGCAGTTCCCCTACAGAAATCTAGTGTATATTTTATACTTACAGCATATCTCAATTCAGGCTACCATACGGCAGGTGCTGAAAAGCCACACGTGCTTGCCCTTGCCCCTTCCTATTGTTGTCTTCCCTACCACCCTGCCTCTCAGCAGACCTCTAACTGCTCTTAGGCTGCAGTATGGGACAGAGGCCGCACGAGGGCTCTTCTACCTCCCTCACCCTTTGATGCCACCTGTGGCACATGTGTCATCCTCACTGGCCTCAGACTCTCCAGCATGTCCTCAGGGTAGTTTCTGTTTCCACCCCAGTCCCCTGCCTTCCTTTATCTGGAAAAGCCTATCTTCTTTTAAGATTCGGGCTCTTCCCCCACATTCTACCTCTGACACTCAGTTCCTTTCCCCCATTCTCTTTCTTTCTCTTGTTTTTTTTTTTGAGACAGAGACTGGCTCTGTTGCCCAGGCTGGAATGCAGTGATATGATCACAACTCACTGCAGCCTTGAACTCCTGGCTGGGTTCAAGTGAGCTTCCCAGTTCAGTCTCCCGAATAGCTGGGATTACAGGTGCAAGCCACCATACATGGCTCATTTTTTTTTAACCTTTTTGTAGAGACAGGATCTTGCTGTATTGCCCAGGCTGGTCTCCAATTCCTTGCCTCAAGTGATCCTCCTGCCTCAGCTTCCCAAAGTGCTAGGATTGCAGGCATGAGCCACTGTACCTGGCCTCTTTCTCTTTATTCTTTTTTCAGAAACCCAGAACTTAAAAAATGAGAATAATCTTTTTTATACCATCTTGTGGTTTTCAACCTATCTTCTAACTTCTCTCCTAATCTTGCCTTTATTTTGTTTGCCCTTAATGTGCCTATCTCCTTTAGCCCTACTTCTTCCCTGCATTTCCCCCAGCATTCTTGCTATCCTCATCCCTCCTCCACCTTCCTATCCATACATATTAACCTCTTCTCTGCCTGTGGCTTAATTTTGACTTGGAATAGGAGCACTAAATGTAGCACAGAGAACTTGGGAGTACATTTCCTAGAGCAGCACCAACTTTATCAAATGGGACCAGACCTGAGGCCAGCTGGTCTACTTCTAGAAAACTCTCCGCTGTCTGTTGGTGATAAGCATTATCACCCTTGATTTACAGATGAGGAAACAGAGGCTCTAAGAAGTGTAGATACTTGCAACCTTGGTGAGTTTCAACCTCACGTTTGTTCCACTACAACATGATAATTCAATCTAAATATTGGAGCTACCATTTGTATCACTTCTCTATACCCCCTCTCTAAGTCCCTATATGGTTAATATGAGCTGATTTCCTTAGTTCATTAGGAGTTATCCTAAGAACTCATTGGAATGATACAAGCCATTTATGACAAACCTACAGCCAACATCATATTGAATGGGGAAAAATTGAAAGCATTCCCACTTAGAACTAGAACCAGACAAGATTGTCCACTATCTCCACTTCTATTCAACATAGTGCTGGAAGTCCTGGCCACAGCAATCAGGCAAGAGAGTGGAATTAAAGGCATAC